TCAGTTCCATGTAGTTGAACTGTCGAAATTTTCAGTGCAATAAAATATGCTCTGTCGCAGTTCACTGCATGCATCTGAACAAGAACATAGCACTGTATTCGGTCAGTGCAAACATTATCGAACACGATATAAAATTCGCACTACATCAGAGCTGCACAAGTGAATACGCCGAGTGTAGCGCACTGAAGTAGAGTGTACCAAACGAATACGCAGCACTGAAAAAAGTCGCACTCAGTGTGCACTAGTGCAGGCTACCGAATTCGCTATAAGTTACCGGTGATAGGCCGTTGTTTTCTGTTGAATTTGTATAACGCTGTGTTTAGCTCGGGCTGTTTCCCGACAGCCTGGCGACGCTACTTAGTCTTTTTTATACCAAAGTCAAGTGGGTCGAAACTCCGTCCCATTTCTCTGGCCTCGTGCCTTTGCAAGACGTTTGAGAGAATGATTGTTAATCGCCTCAACTGCTGGCTCGAATATCATAGAAAGTTACCCGGATCACAGTTCGGCTTCCGCAAGCAGCGCTCGTGTATTGACAACCTGTCTATTTAGTATAGTGAGATAGTAAAAAGCTTTCAGGAGGATACAGCCGTCTCGGCTGCCTTTCTGGATATTCAGTCGGCCTACGATAACGTTCTTCCAGACGTCCTGGTTGAAAAGGTGATTACTCTTGGAGTTCCTCCTCGTACGGCCCGGTTCATTTTCAACCTTACGTCTGAGCGTCAGGTCACGTGCAGGTTTGGAGATCTCGAAGAAGTACGTTGGGTTTATAAGGGCCTTCCTCAGGGTAGTGTTCTCAGTCCGCTGCTTTACACAATCTATGTCGCCCAGCTGGACCGGGCGGGCTCGTCCAAATGCAAGGTGCTTCAATACGCTGACGATGTTTGCGTGTACACCTCAAACGGGGATGTTGGAGCTGGACTTCGTGATTTGGAGGAGTCGGTAGGCAATGTGGTGTCTGTCCTTGGTCCTTTGGGCCTGGACCTGTCTGCCACGAAGACACAGCTGTGCGTGTTCAGTCGTGGGAATAGGAGAGTGTTGGAGGTTGCTCGGGGAGGTGGACGCGCTGGAGGCCGTCAGACTTGGGGAATAACGGTGACGGGGGTTAGAGTCAATTCGGTGTCGGAAGTCCGTTTTTTGAGTATGACCTTCCAGTCCAACCTAGGATGGGGAAACCATGTCTCACAGGTGGAGCGGAGATGTGCCAATTCTATGCGCACTCTCAAGTGCTTGAGTAGAACGTGGTGGAGTAGTGACCTCCGCCTTTTGCTCCGTCTTTATGGAGCACTGGTGCGGTCTAGGATCGAGTACGGGGGTTTTTTGCTTCATGGCCTCTCCAAGGGGATGGGCAGTCGTCTCGACAAGTTGCAGCGATGGGCGTTGCGAATCGTGATGGGATATAGGACCTCTACTCCGGTAAATGTGTTGCTGACGAAGGCTCGAGAGCCTCCGCTCTCTCTACGCTTTCGCTTTCTGTGTTGTAATTATCTCTCCAGGGTGGCCACGGTGAACGACCACCCGGTTTGGAGCCTGTTGGGAGAGATTCAGGCTCTTCTGCTCGCGTCACCAAACAGAAATCGGGTCGGCTCGCTTCCCCTTCTGGAAGCGTTCCGACTGGTTAGCCGATGGTCCAGTTCGCTGTGTTCGTCTGGGGTTCCCGTCTGCTATTCTTTCTGTTTCGCCCCGCTGTTGTCCACTCATGAGGTGGACCTAACGAAAGGAGCCTCTCTACGTCAGGGGCCTTGACGTGGAGTCAAAGTTTCGTCGTCAGTTTCGTGATGAGTTGGACTCTTCCGTTTGTCTCTTTACCGATGGTTCACGGTCGGAGGGATCCCCCTTTTCGGGGTACTCACTGGTATCGTTGGATGGTAGGTATGTTCGACGCTTTTGTTCGGTAGGATTCGTGTCGTCTTTTTGCGTTGAGACTATGGCCATTGTGGAGGCCCTTCGTTTGGTGTAGGCAGAGAACTGGTCGGCGGTTACGATTTTCTCTGACTCCATGTCGGTTCTGTCAGCAGTGCAGACTCGTTTCAAACCGGGCCGGAGTTCGTATCTCGTCCTTTGGGTGAAGTCATTACTTCTGGATCTGAGTAGTAGAGGAGTTAAAGTCAAGCTAGTGTGGATTCCCGGCCACAGTGGGGTGCGGGGTAACGAGTGGGCAGATTCGCTCGCGAAGGATGCGGTCCGATGTGGGAGGCCCTCCCAGGTGGGAGTGCCCCTGAGTGAAATTAAGAACTTATGGAAAGCCGATTTGAGGACAGAACTGCTGTCTTGGTGTCGGAGCGAAGCTCCGACTCGGGGAGCCTACTACTGTGAAAATTTTTTGACAAATCCCGGAGTTCCTGGTTTGAGTCGTTTGCTTTACCTCGCAAGGCGGTTACATCTATCAACCGCCTTCGCAGCGGCCACACCTCGTTACGTGCCAGTCTTTTCCGCTTTGATATAGTGGATTCGCCTCTGTGTCGAAGTTGCGCTCAAGAGAAGACTCCAAGTCACGTGTTTTGGGAATGTCCCGCGTACGACAAACAACGCAAACTACTGTGCAACCGGCTAGTGCGAGCAGTTGGCCCTCTTCCGCACCCCGTCGAATTCCTATTGACATGCTCTCACCAAGATATTGTCGCTGCGATAAGCAGCTTCCTCTGTTCTATACCTCTCTTTGTTTAACGTATTTTACGTAAGTGGTCTGTGTGCAATGAGCATGGTATTTACGTTATTATTATGTTCTTTTTGTTAAGTTTCGTTTATACCTGTAACTGTCATGTCTTATATATTTTAGATCAGTAGGCAGACTGTGGTCTTTGTGTTTTGTTTTATTTTAGTTTTTTTTTTTTTTTT